CCACTTGTAGAGGCAATTTGAGCATAATTTGTAGCACAAGTCATGTCTTACCTGAGCCCTGCCTTCCTTCCCATGGCATGGGTAATGGGGGAGGTTAGAGGGGAGGTTTGAACTCGGTTTAGCATTTCTTTATCCACCTTTGCTGTGCCTCTACTAAGTGTCCAGGTAGCTGGTAAGGTAGCAAGGTATTCATTCAGCTTCAGGTGAAGGGATGGACAGAACGTGTGTGGTGAGGTCCCAGGGTAAAAAGTGTGGGTGCTGCATGGAGGGAAGTGCCTAGGAAGGAACAGGCTGACTAGTCGGGGAAGCTTTGGGTCTTCAGCAGGGGTGGCAGTGAGGACTGATCCAGCATTTATCATTACGGGTCTCTTCATGAGATGCACTTTCACTGAGCCCTTGATGTGTGTAAGGCTCAGGCCCAGGCACTGTGAGCATCTAAATGAGAGGAGTAAGCATCATTGGGCAGAGGTTAGGAACACAGGTTCTGATGCAGGGTTGTCTGTGTGTGAGGCCGGGCCCTGCCACTTCCTGGCTTGTGGTGTGATCAGGTATATATTCTGGGGCCTCGGCTTCCTCCTGTGTGAAATAGCAATAATGATAAATGTGGTGGGGTTTAAATGAGCTAATGTGGCATACTCAGGAGCGTCTTGAGTATAGAAACTATTTGTGTGTTCTGGCTCTTTGTTAGTACTAGAAGGTCGGTTCAAGGTAGATGTTATGTGTGGGTTGTTCACTGCTATATGAGTGTTCCCAGAAACTTCTGGAACATACATAGCAAGCACCGGGTTAATGATTCACAGCACCACTGGTGTGCCCAAGGAGCCCCAAGCCTGGGCTAGATGGGACACAGCTGTGTCACCAACTAGAGGACACCATGCAAATGATTTCATAAGGGGAACCTGGGAACTTTGGTGGCAGAGGGCAGGTCAGGGAAGGCTTGGGATGCTAGTCAACCCTCCAGATTGAAAAGTATGTAGGGGCTTTTTGGGATCTTGGATGTTGGAGGAAGGGGATGAAGGTTGGGTTGAGCCACATGAAGCATGTCATACTGGTGACACGGGAGAGTGGAGACTGCAAAGTTGGTCACTTAGAGGAGTTGTAGCTGCATCCTGTGCATCGTGAGGCTCCCTGGAAGGGCTCTAGCAGGGGTGTGACCAGGCCTGCCCCTGGAGGAACATGGACTACGGGGGATGTAGGGAGTGTGGAAGGTGGTTGTCATTCTAAGACAGCTCATGCTGACGCCCACAGGGTGGGGCTAGTGGAAGTAGGTGGTGTGTGTGAGGTTGTGCCTGGCAGGTGAGGCCTCGGAAGCAGAAAGCTGGTAACATATACCTTGCTTGGCAGCACTTCTGTCTTAAAAATAGAAAGGACAGAGATAGAGAGGGGTAGTGTGCTTGTCCTAGGGGTGGCCTAGTTAAAGCCTGACTCCTGGCAACATGACAGCTGTTCTCACCTTCACTCACAGGCCAGTACCTTCCTCTGCACTTCCTCTGCCACCTCCTGCCCTTCCCTCCTCCCAGCACTCGGCAGAGGAATGGATTGAGTCCCTAGAGAGGCCTCTGTAGTCTGGGCGCCATACAGAACCCTTGTTGAGATCTGTGCCGACTTCTAGTCATCCCGTGTGTGTGTGTGTGTGTGTGTGTGTGTGTGTGTGTGTGTGTGTGTGTGTGTTGGGAGTACTTTCTGCAAACAGACGTTGCTGTTTTGCTTGTGCACAAATGACCAACCACAGAGGAGTAAGGCAGGGTGGCCTACTAACTAGCGTTCTGTACCCAGTGAGTTCTAGGGCCCTATACATTCTTGAGGTCACAGATGGTCCCAACTGTGCTTTTGTGTGTTCCTGTAAGTGACTGTGCTGTGTCTAGGTGATATGATTGAGCATCTAGGGCATAAGAGACAGAGGATGCATGTGGACTTTATAAGTAACAAGAGTACTTTTCAGTGAATTGTACAGGTCAGGGAGGAATGTGCCACCAAAGAGCAGCTGGCTGTGGAGTCAGAAGCCTGGGCCTTCTTTTATGGGGTCTAGAGGAAGAAAGAGTTTGGTTACTATGGATGTAGTTTGGGTGGTTTGTTTCTATTTTTCTCTTTCAACATGCTGAGTTCTGGGCCTGCCAGGGCCATGCATGAATTCGCTGTCAGCAGAGCTTATCAAGGATGGGGTGGAGGCTGCAGGTTGTAAATGCCCTCTGCTGCTGTTCTGTTCAGAGTCCCTGAGTGTCACTGTCCCACTTCTGCTTGGGCTGTAGCTTCTCGAGGGTCCTCAGGAGAGGATTTAGAGCATCTCTTCAAGCTCAGATCTCATAGCTTCCTAGAGTAGCCAGATTGCGTTTGAGGGAACATGCTGGGCTAGAGCCAGAGTCAGAAGTTTTGGCTTTGAGCTTTGGCATTGTCTCCTGGAGCTGTGTGAACTCTTAGGAAAGCCCATAGTGACTGGGAAAGGCTTTGCAAAGGTGAGCAGGCACAGACAGACACAGGCTCCAGAATAGTGGTCCCAAGTCCACTATAAGTTTAGCTCATGCCCATTACCTCAGGGCTTGGTCAGAGACCTTAGAGATGTATTGTGATGACCTTTATTGTTATTTGGTTTTGTTCTGTCTTTGTAGACTTGCTCTCATACAGCTCAGGCTGGCCTCACACTCACTAGCTGACTTTGGGTTTGGACCCTTGATCCTTCTTCCTCAATGGCCCCCTGGGATTACTCACTTGTGACTTTTCAGTAGGTGAGGGAATCTGCTCCCGAAGTCAGCTGAGGGAAGGAGGCAGGAGAGACTGGGGTTAGGTTGGGAGGGAAAACCAGGAAGCCTTTACCCAGGAAGTTCTGTGTGAATGTGTCTCAGAACTTTGTCATGCAGGGAAGGGGCAAAGGTTATCACAGAATCAAAGATCTGGGAAGTCAAGGGGTCACAGGGTAGGATAATCTGGGAGAGAGAAGACACTGGAGCTGGCATGGAACCTCCCAAGGTGTGGGAGAGGGCCCCTTCTGCTTCCCACCCAGTGTCTGCATCCCTCGGGTGTCTAAAGGTCAGATTTACTAGAGTGCCCTGGTCAAACCTGGTCATAAACAGCAGAGAGGTTCCTGGAGGCGGTTTCACATTCTCTTCATTCTTTATATGAGCCTGAGGGCCAGAGAGGGGCAGGTGGCTTCCCAGAAGGGCTGGATCCGCCCCAGTTAGAACCTGGCTTCAGCCTGGGCTGTTTGCACCACACCCATCTATAAGGTAACCCCTGTCCGGGCCTGGTCAGCCCCAGCCTTTCCTGGTCCACCCCACCAGGCCATTCAGTCTTGGGCGGAAAGGGTAGAGGAAGCAACAGTCTTGTTTACCAAAGGGCTGGTTGGACAGGTCTACTTTGCAAGGTTAAAGGCCAAAGGGGAGACCAAGGTTTCTCTGCTGGTGTCTGGTGGTGGGTAGGTGGAAGCGGGTGGAGGCAAGCCTGAGCCAGCCACCAACTAGGAAACTTTTTGCTTGGGTGACTGCCTGGTGGTGCCTGAGGTTTTTCCAAAGAATGGACCCTGAACACAGAAGGCTGAGCAGTTTCCAGCTCTCATATTCTTTTCCTGGACAGTAGGGCCTGGAGAGATTAGAGCATACACAGGAGGGTGGAGGAGGCCACTAAGTTTCCCATTTGAGGCAATTAATTTGATGGATTGCACACCAGCTCCTCCTTCCTCCTGATCCTCCCTGGCAGAGCGACTGGCTGGTGGTGTATGTGATAGTGCTCTCCCCTCCCCCAGCTCCTGTGGTACCTGCTGGGGAGTTCTACTTGGTTCAAATCTGAGCACACAGTAGTTGCTTTCTGAAAGCCTTGAGTATCTGATTGGAGCCTTTCTAGGAAGTATTACCTGGGGGATCTCCCGGTGTTTATAGGTACAACTAAGCCTGGGCAGTGAGCTCACCTGCCCAAGGTTACTCATGTCGCTGGTGACAGCTGGGCCTCTAGCCAGTTCCTCCACTGCACTTGCCTAGTGTGTTCAAAGGGAAAGTGATGTACACAGTGAAGGACTCCTGAGGGTTTTCCTGACTTCCTCCTGGCCCCTGCTTGTCTTGGGGATCCCTGTCAGCATCTCCCCTTGCTGGTTTGGCAGCTTCCTACAAGGGCGCTGAGGGCTACACTTTGTCGCACCCCTACCCCCACCCCCCTGCTCCTCCTGGGCACTGCAGTGGTGTCTGAGAACTGGCTTGCTTTGTAGGACGACTTTGTAGCTGCATTTCTCCTTTTGTTGGTTTTTTTCCATTTCTGGTTCAATTTTGTATGTTAAGATTTCTGCTCTTCTCCCACATGTCAGTAAGCATGAAAGGTACTACATAAGCAGGGTGTAAAGAAATCACAGTATAAGGACATAGCAGGTGCCTAGGGGTGGCTGGCTGGCTTATTCAAAGCTCCTGCTGTGTGCCAGCCAGCTTTGGGCAAGGTACTGGCTTTCCATGATGGATGAGGCATCTGCCTGAGGAGCCTATTTCTTCTTAGAATTACTCTCTCTCTCCATATATATCTATATCTATATAGATATAGATACCTATATATAGATATGGATATATGTATATATCTGAGAGAGAGTCTTATTATGTAACCCTGGCTGGTCTGGATCTTGGCTATATAGACCATGCTAGTCTCAAACTCACAGAGATCTGCCTGCCTCTGTCTCATAAGTGTTGGGATTAAAGGTGTGCACCATTCGTCCAGCTAGAATTATTTTTTGTTTAAAATATAAATAAGTAGGTTTCACTGTGGTTTTTTTGAGGGGAGGAGCAAGGTTCCATGTATCCCCGACTAGCCTTAACCTTGAACTTCTTTCTACCTCTTCGATGGTTAGGGTTACAGGTGCATACCAATACACCAGTTCACATGGTGCTAGGACTCAAACCCAGGGTGTCATGCATACTAGGCAAGCCACCTTGGCGTTTTCATACAAACAGGTCCTCATTCTTTGTGTCCCTGGCCCTTTCTGAGTTTCAGTTTCCATTTGTAATCAGCATCTAGGAAGAATGTCTTCCGTACCGGTCATTGGTCCACTGACAGAGCTTTATTGACTTCCTGGGGCTGCCAGGCATTGTAGCAGAGGTCGGGCTGGGACAGTGTAGTAATCCACCAACTCTGCTCATTGTAGTGGAGAGAAAGAGGATAAATCAAATGGTTACAATGTATGGTTGGAGGAGTGCAGGTGTGTGAGGTGGGGGTTGGGGAGCGAGGAGGGCGACGCTTGGGAGAGAGGACTTGAGGGAGGCCTCTAAGGAGATGGCATGCATCTGGGTGTGGGGAATAGAATCTAGGTCTTGTGGAAGAACAGCCAGTGCTCTTAACAATCTCCCCAGCATCCCTTGCTTTTAGTTCTTAAACAGTCTCTCTCCATCTTCTTTACTTACCCCCAGCTCCTTTAGGGGAGAGTTTCCCAAGAAGCTTTGTTCACTTCTTACTGTGTTACTTGGAGCAACACCCTGGGTGGGAGGCAAGGGAATCTTCTTGAACCACGGGGGGGCCAAGAGGCAATACCACATCTTTCAGGGATGCAGAATCCTGCAGTTCAAGGTGGTTGAGCATCACTGGTGCCTGTGTGTGTGTGTTGGGGCAGGGAGGGGTGAGGCTGAGAGGTAACAGGTGGCCCAGAGCGCGTGGGCTCCCTCTTCTGCCCTGTGGGCCTGAAGTCAGCAGGCTGCCTGGGAGAGTGGGTTTTAGAGCCCTTTGTTTGGGCACCACCGCCATGGGTCTCACCCATAAAGGGCTCTGGGTTTCCAAGGGCCCCCTCTTTCCTTCCTACTCTGGATGGCGTTACTGATTAAACCTGTCCTTGGAACCTGTACACATAAAGTCAGGACAGGCCAGCATGTTGGATGTGGACATTCTGTTTCTGTACTCGGTGTGAGTGAGCAGGACTCTAGGCCCTTGCCTCTGGAGCAACCTTTTCCTGGGTTCTGTGGCCCTGGCTGGCCGGCCTTCTGCCCCTTACTTGGCTGGACACACAAGCCCGTCTGCTCTGCAGGTTCTTTGATGTAGGCAGAGAGTTTGCATTAATAGGAGCCTGGACTTGAGCCCTTGGCCAAACATTCCAAATTCTTTGGACATAAAGAGGCTTGGGGCCTTTCCAAGGCTTCACAGTTTGTGTTTATATCCTGTGCAGATTTCTGTTTGGTTCCTCAGAGCCCTTTCCCAGTATCACAAGGGAGGCCTGGTTGGGTCCCTGAGACTCTTCTCTCAGCCTGGCCTCACCCCACTGTCGTATGGAGTGTCTGCCTAGCAGCGCCTGTCCTTCCCCGGTGCCATGACGCTGAAGGGCCGAGGGTGGAGTGGCCCTTTTGTTTTGTTTTTAAATAAGGGCAACATGGGTAAACAGAGCAGCATTTCTGGTGCCGTCGGAGAGGGCCAAGACCCCACATTCCGGCTCCATGACGACAGGCTGTGGGCAGCGGCAGTTGAGATGGACAATGGTGGCTCTGTTGAACGGCTGAGGCTGGGCTCTGAACAAATGCATTTTAATTGAGCCCTTTCCACCCTGAGATCTGTGGGGATCTGGTGGCCCACTCCTCGCCCATTCATTTTGTCTTTGCAGCTTCAGAGCCAAGTTATTGCAGCCCCCTTGTTCCCTTCCCAGCCCGGGCTGGCTTGTGTTCCAAAATGGTAAGAGAAAGGCTGGGGTGAGGGCCAAAGGGGTCTAGTGACATCCCTGTGCCCTGGCTGGCTTGAAAGTTAAATGGACTAGGTTGGAATCCTGGTGGCAACGTTTCTCAGCTAAACCCTATGCCTCAGTTTCCTCATTTGTAAATTATGTAGAAGAACATGTTTCCCGTGGGCTGGGGAGATGCTCATTGAAGTGCATGCCGTGCAAGCATGAGGGCCTGAGTTCGATCCCCTAGAACTCTTTGAAAAAGCAGGGTGCCCTGGGGTGTTTGCTTGTAGTCCCAACACTGAGCATGTAGGGCAGGTGAATCTCAGTTTGCTAGCTAGTTGTCAATCTA